GTTTTTGTACAATACATGTAGTAGTCTGAGCTTGGTTGAGAATTATAAGTACTGCCATAGTACAAATAATAGTAGTATAAAAGCACAAAGATTTAATGGTGCTTTTCTCAGACAGCTATTGAATTTAATCCTAGGAAGAGTGTAGCAAGATGCCTTTGTAAATACCAGTTTAGTTGGTAATCAGGATGATTGTCATGATCTTAACATAAAAATGTTTTGTTGTTCTTTAATAAGATCTTCTTTTCATTTGATATATATACTATTTGAAGTGAACTACAGTCACCTGATCCATTAATTTTAACTCAGTCATCAGTTCATGGCAGGAGAAAGGTTATATTTGGCATGTAAAAATCATAGCATTAATAGATTGTTGTTTTTATAACAATATACTTACTTTTTTTGAAGCCATCATTTAAAATACATATGCAAGGTGGAAAGTTTCTCATCTTTCACTTCCAGTGTCCCTGGCTCATTGGCTGTGATTCCCATATTTAAAAGAAGAAACCAAAGAAGAGATTCAATGTCAAGTGCTTAAAAGACTGATAAAAGCAATCATCTCTAGCAGTGCCTCAGTGAGAAACTCTTTGACCTCCATGATGATTTTGACACTACCAATCACTGGGAGAGCTTCAAGGAAGGTTTTCATGAGGTGTATCAAAAATCTCTAGGCTTCTCCACCAAGAAACACCAAGGCTGGTTTGATGAGAATGAAAGGGAAATTCAAGCTTTCATTGAAGGAGAGCCTTCAAAACTTGGCAGAATTACATCAGCTCCAAATGGAAGCAAGACATTTACCTCAATCAGGGCTTGTAGTAGGGATGATATCTTTTATTAGACCAACAAGATTTTTGCAAAAAAAAAAAATTCTTTCATTGTTTGCCTAATTAAAGCTATCATCTCTACTATGAGCCCTGATTGCTTTTTCCTCTAGAGCAATACGGCTACAACCTGCATACGAAACATTTATCTCCACACTAAAGGTAAGACCCAAAGGAAAATTCAGGAGAGAAAGAAAAAGTGGTGGCAGTACAAAGCAAAACAGATTCAAGAGCTTGCTGGCAGCTTTACCATGCATAGTTTCATCAGTGCAACCGAAGCTATTTATGGGCCAAGCACACACATGTCCCTCTGAGTTCCAAGGGTGGAAAAACACTCTTTAAAGATAGCTCCACCATCAATGCATGGTGGAAGGAGCTCTCTCATAAACTTCTGAGTCAAGACAATACCATCAAAGCCATTCTATAACATCTCATTAAGGACTACATTGAAGATCCATCAATTTATCAAGAAGTATTGAAACCCATTAAGCAGATGAAAAACAAGACACCACTTCCAGCATTTAAGCCATGTTCATATGGTACCAGCTCTCTTGGACAGGGCATGTCATAAGGATACTTGACAACCAGCTCCCCAAATAGGTCCTATACTCCCAACTCACTGATACCCACTGCTCTAGCAGTGGACTTAAAGGAAAGATTCAAGGATACCTTGAAGGCCATTCTGCCAAAATGCAGTATTAACATCAGTACTTGGGAGACACAAGCACTGAATCATCCCTAATGACACTGTGATCAGCAATCATTTTGAGCAAACTTACTTCACTATGGAGGTGGATAGTCAAGAGAGAAAAAGGGAAAGA